GAGAGAGAGAGAGACAGCTGGTAGAAATATGAACTTAATATGAACTATAATGAACGAAACGGTATCGCCGATGCAAATCGGTCTCTACACTCGTCATGATAACGTAACGTCGCCGCCTTCGTAGCGCGAGGTCGTGATCCGATTCGATAGGATATCATTATACGTCGCCTTCGACAGATGTGAGACACCCCCCTCGCGAATAGCGCTATCCCCAGTGGCTAACCTTCCGCAAAAACGAGTATCAAGTAAGTCGAATCAGGCCACGTCTAGTCGATTTCCATCTTGGTCTTTGTAAAGCATTATATATTTTTAACATAAATCTGTATTAACATCGATGCTGTCAATTCTAAGGGCATTAAGATCAACAGGTATCCCTTCCCCCCCCCCTCCCCCCGAAAGAAAAGACCAAGACGCCCCCATTCGTGGTCCACGAATACCTTAAGCCGAACCCACACGTCGGATTCCTTTCGTATCGATTTAATCCCCAGCACAAGGGAAAAATTTCCGCAAGCGCGTAATATTCGTATACTCTCTCGGGGTGAGAGCGCGAGAGAGATCTCTTCTTTCCCACGACTTTTTTTTTCCCGATCTCCTCGTCGAGGGCGGGATTTTCCGGGATTTGCCGCGGGAAGGAGGGAAAAAAAAAGAAAAATACCCCCGACGCTTTCGCACAGGTCTGCGTCCAAGTCCGTTCAAGTTTACGAGAATAGGCCAGCGGGTCGCGACTGCTTGAAACTTTCATGTGACATCGACCCGACGTGATCGGGTCGGCGCGGGAAGAGGGGAGGGGAGGGGAGGGGAGGAGGAGGAGGAGGGAGGGGGGGGGGGAGGAGGTTCGACCCTGCCGCGGGCACAGCTGTTCCGCTGATACCTGCGTTCTCTACGCGGCACCGTTATTACGGTCGATCGACCGTAGCGTCTTCGCGACAGCGTAGAACCTCCGCGGCGGGAACGGAATCGCTCGCGAACGTAATAAGACGTTTACTCCGTTTTACTCCGTACATCCGTCGATTCGGATTACGGATTACCACATCCGTCGCGCCGTTAATCGCCTCGCGACGAACCGTATGCGAAGACGACTGCCGCCAATTTGAGGCACTGCGGCCTCTCGACGCACGGGAGAATGTTCGGTACGCACAGGAAAATGTCATTCTAAAATATCATCGCTAGGAAAATGTGATTGCTCTGGCTTACTTTTCTTCTTTCAAGTAACGGCTACCTCTTTAACGAGGGAGCATTTACTTTTCTTCTCTCGAGTAACGGCTATCTCTTTTACTTTCTCGATAATAGTCTTAAAATCTACATCATCCCAAATTTTAGGAAAAACTTATTATTATCGTAATTAAAAAGAGAATTTTCTTTTAAAGAATATTATGTAATATTTTACCCGAAGAACTGTTAGATTTGAATATTTCACAATGAGCAAATCGATTTTTTTAGTTTAATCTGATATTCTTTATTTAAGCATTACGCTTACTGAGATTTAGAATATATTTTGAATAAATTTGATGCTTATGACAGATTTGCGGATATATGAACTTTGGAAATACTTTGGAAACAAGTAATATTTATTTAAGTACAGTATATATCTTTTGTGTATACGTTTCCTCGAGAATAACATAGAAAGAATAGAGAAACGACCTTTCAAAATTCTCTATGGAAAGATGTTTGCTTTACATGTTAGACGGAATAAAAATGCTT